TACCACCTTATTCTGCCATGACACTTCAACCACCATTTCATTTCTGAAAAGCTTTTAGCAGCCAACTTTCTAACTGCTGGATCTGGAGTTTAAACTGCTATGCAAAAGGAAAAAAGTTTGTGCTGTTTTTTCTCTTGATTAGGTATAAAGGCATGACTTTTTTTTTTTGTGGACGGAGCAGAGAACCTGTTTCCTTTTCATAATAAGTTCAAGCATCTGTTTTGTTTTTTTCCCTGGGAAACTCTGGAGAACTGGAGTAGTAGTATGTTTGTGACAGATCAATAACTGAAGCTTAGTTTGAGAGGGGAAGCAATTTGTATTCAGATTATTTAAAACTTTTGTTAGCATCTGTTTAATTCAAATTCCTGAGAAACACCCAAGAGAATAGACTTTTGTTAGAATAAACTCTCCCACTTAATTGGGGTAAGAATCCACATGGGCCTCCAAAAACTATTCCTGCAAAACCAAGAAAAGACTTTACATTCCTGAATTTAAGGTAAAAAAAGAAAATAAAAGCTTGCACACACTTTTCAGGCCTTTTTATATCTTAAACAAAAGGGCACAAATCCAAGATCCTCTACGACTACACAAAAACCTTCGCTTCTAGCAAACTACAAGATCGCACTAAAATGGTGTCCTAACTGAAGTACCAGGCAGCAAGATGATAATCAGAATGATCTGATTGTAAGATCCATCTCTCACTCTGCCTAGGCAACAGTAACTGTTTTGTCAACAGTAACCACAGCTTCCAAACAGCATTCCCACATATGAGGCATGCTAGTCAAATCCTGACAGTAAAAGGAATACTGGACCTTAAAATTATCACTGGCCCCTTGATCTAGTAATCCAATTTTGGCACTGGTCCAAAAAAAGCATATAGAAAATATTTGTTTTTCAATGCACACACAGGTGACAATATATTTAAACAAAGAATTCACACACTTTGGTTATCGGCATCCAACAGGTGCAAGTTTACTAGCACCAGGAAATAGTTAAACTACTATCTTTTGGCTAATAAGCCTTTCAGCTTTCCAAACTCTAACAATATTCTGTACTTTATAAAAGGTTTGGTAAGAACCATTTCCATACATCACCACCCAGATGTTAGTTGGGTCTATGCTTTGACTTGGCCGCCAACACACAGAATAATTAAATGATCAAAGAAGCATGAAGCTTGGCTAAGGCATTCCTTTAGAAACTGGAAAAGACAAATGGAAGATTAATACCAGCAGAAAAGATAGTTCAAGGATTAAGGTACTAGCCTTATGGAGACCTGGGTTCAGGTCCCTGCCCGACTATACTTCCTGAATGTCCTTGGGGAAGACTGTCTCTGGTTCTCAGCTCCCCATCTGTAAAACAGAGGTAACAGCCTTTCCATGCCTCAATGGGGTATTGCAAGGATGAATGTACTAAAGACTATATGGTGCTCAGACACTATAGTAATAGGGGCCAAATGGGTAACTAAAATAGCTGAAGTTTTTTTCTTGGGTGAGAAGTTCAATATTCTTAAACATTGAGGGATTCAATGTAGAACTTGAGGAGAAGGTAGTACAGGGGACACAGGCAATGAGTTGTCCCCTGCAAAAAGGTAACCCTAATAACTAGTCCTAAATATCAGGATAATCTTCTCTAAATCCTAGCATGAGACACACTGGATTTATAGCTAGAGAGACCTGGATCACCTGTCTGGATTACAAGTGAAAATATTGTGGTCTCATCTTTAAAACCTCTTGGAACTTTTGGAACATAACAGAAAAGTGGCTCAATTTGACAGTTAGGTGATTATTCAAGAGACACTCAAGACTGGAACAGGAAGGGAATCTCCAAGGTTAGGACCATTGGCAGAGCTGGATTTGGAATTTTGCAGAGCACCGCCCAACACCATCATTCTAGCCTGTACTATTAGACCCCCACTTAAATAAGAGTACTATCACCACTTCTCTCTCTCTCACCCCCCCCCCACCCCCCTTGTGTGTGTGTGTAAAGCACAGCTATGATTCATACCAAGGTGCTAGCTGGGTTAAGAAAAGTCTTTCCACTGTGAATCAGGATGGACATGGTTTGCCATGAGCTACAACAGAATATTAAAACCTATTCTAGCTGGAAACTAGAGATAGGAGACAGCATTTGCAATACATATAATCCTGCTGCAATGAACAATTTTGAATACAGTAAATAGTGTTTCAGTGTAGGAAATATCTGGAGGAAGTGACAAAAAACAGAATTTAAGAGGGTTGAGTTTTTGGTCAAATTCTGACAGCATTTTAGAGTCAGTAAATTCATTCACTGAATAGGCACTGAATAGGAATATTTTTGCCAGAACTGACTGATTAATACAGAATTCTGCAGCAAACTACTGTAGTTATGAAAAATGAATAAAGAGCAAGTTACTGACGAATCCCTGGAATCCACTGGCTTTGAAAACTACAAGACAGCCACCAGAAATAGCTCATCTGCATTTGAACTTGTAAGAATCTAGGTTCTCAAGTATTCTACTATATGCAGGCGTGAAGAGGGAAGTCAATTTATCCATTAAAAAATGCAAATTAACTAGGGCTGTTAAAACTGTTTGACTAAACCTATTCTGTGGTACTCAATAAACGTGTGACATGTGCACAATGAAGAAACTGTATGATCTTTATATCAGATAATTTATAAGCATGCCTAACTACTAGGGCATGATACTTGTTGAGACAACATAATTGGCACAACCCTCTGCATACGATCTAGACCAGGGGTAGGCAACCTATGGCACACGTGCCAAAGGCAGCATGCGAGCTGATTTTCAGTGGCGCCCACACTGCCCGGGTCCTGGCCCCTGGTCGGGGGGGCTCTGCATTTTAATTTAAATTTTAAATGAAGCTTCTTAGACATTTGAAAAACCTTATTTACTTTACATACAATAGTTTAGTTCTATATTAAAGACTTATAGAAAGAGATGTTCTAAAAACGTTAAAATGTATTACTGGCACATGAAGCCATAAATCAGAGTGAATAAATGAAGACTCGGCACACCATTTCTGAAAGGTTGCCAACCCCTGATCTAGGCTTTCTATATGTCCCTGAAAATAAAAACAATTTTTTGTCTTTTCTCAGGACTTGACAGCTCAAGAAAATACCATCAGACAATTCTCACATAAGAAGTTCCCTGGTCCTCAAAGTATGGTCAATAAAGGATGTACTGAAAAACAGTAGTCCAATTATAATACACCTTACTAATCATAAGTATTCAAATATAAAAAATAATCCAAATGCTAATTTAAAAGATAATATATTGTCACAAGAAATAATACTAAAAGCAGAAGTGTAACCTGAATTAGGATTCACTTGTAAGTAGAAAACCTGGGAACAGTAGGGGAGAGGAGAAAAGAAAATGGAACTTGTAGAAACATTGGGATCAGACAAGATATTTTGTTACTATTCAAAAAGAAACAATTAACACAGGCCTACTGGATGTACCAGCACACAGAGTATCAAACTATTAGTCCACCATAACATAACTCAAACCACAAGACTTTAAGAATATGGATCTTAAATATACACAGAAGCGCTAGAGAAAGTAAAAACTAAGTATTAAGGTCTCAGTTTTGAAAAAAAATCTGACAAGTTAATTAACCTACTCTAAGAAAGAAAAGCATAGTTGAAAACATACAATATAGTAGTGTCATTGCTTTCCCCTCAAGCTGCATTTTTACAGTGATAGGGAAGATTACTGCTAGTTTCAGGAACATTACTCCTGAGGGAATTCTCCACCACTGGACACATGCAGAATTCATGTCCCCTCCTCGCCCCAGATGTTTTTTTTCCTTCACAAAATATAGTTCTGCTGGAGAGGTGCTGCAATTACACCTTTTGCCCACCAGGGGCTACTGTGGTGCCAGAAGAGAGGGCAACCAGCCAACAGAGAGGGAGGGGGAGGCTGTGTTCCTCACAGTGCCAGGTGAGGAGGCACAGGACAGTCAGAGCAGGGCACACAGGACTGCTGGGTGGGGGTGTCACAGACTGGGGTTCAGAAGGGCCGGGGGGGGACACACCACAGACTGAGGCATAGGCTCAGGAGCTAGTGATTGCTTTGAGGCAGGGGCTGAATGGGGGGGGGGGGGGAGAGGAGGGCTGCAGGGCCAAATGGGTATGGGAGGCAGATGTACCTGTCTCAATGGGAAAGGCTAGGGGTCAGCCTGGGTCTGCACTGGGGAGGTTTCCCAACTCCCTAATAATACTACTCCCCCAAATTCCTGTTTCTTACTTGTCCCACCCACACTCAACAATCCTACAAATTCACCTCCAGGCTCCTTCCCTCTCAGTCAGCTCCTCCGTTACCCCGACTCCTCCCAAGCATTTTCATTGCTTCTGCAGGGTGCAGGAAATAAGTTTCTGTACTGTAGTTTAAATGAATTACTCAAAGTTCTGCATTAATATGCCTGGTAAGGAATCAATTTGTCAAAAAAAACATTTCTTGAATTTTTTTTTATTTTTTTGGTCTGTATTGTTACAGACATACTTGCTGACAGGTATTTTGAAATAAATGACCAAAGTAACTGAAACTGGCATTATTATATTGTGTTATTTTGACAAATAAAATATGTAGAATTTTAAAATATTGTCCACAAAATTTTTAATTTTTTGGTGCAGAATTTCCCCAGGAGTAGAAAACGTCAGTTTTATACTGCTATATATTTCGTTTAGGGACACATGCAACTGTTCCATCCTCTCCCTCCTGTCACAATCTTTGGCATTTTCCACATCAGACTTAGGTGATGAGCCTGTCACAGCCGTGCTGCAGATTATGCAGTTTTGGCAGGCACCAATTTAACAGAGAACTGCAACAGAGGTGCGCTTGATAACTGTGTAGAGTGATACTTTGTATTCCTGTCCTTTTTCTGCTACTTATTCTGTCCATAGTGAAAATGTAAATCTAAGCTGACCTAAACTTTAAGCTTTTTTTTTTTAAATTCCACAACGTCAGGCAACACTTGAAGGATAACATAAGACATTTATACCTGGTTGTGCTTCACTAAATGGAGCCCAAAAAGGCCCAGGTCCAGCAAGAGGTCGTTCATTATTCCCTCCGCTGGGATGGCGGTTGTGCTTCCTCCATGTATGTGGAGAGGTTGGTGGGGACTGCTGTGGTGAAACAACTGGAGATGTGGACTCCTAATAAAACAAAGGAACTTTTAAAAATTTTGTACTATATCATTAAAATCATAAAAACCTATCTAAAAACCATTATTTCTAAAAACAACTGTTCAGCAGATTTAAAATATTCCTTTTTTGGAACAGGAAATATTTATAACAGTGACAGAACAGCAGGAGTTAGGCACAGTATAATTGACACTGGATATATTTTTCCGCCACCCAGAAGTGCAAATCCATCATGATCTGGACTCACAACATTTTTGACGGACAACAATGGGGCCAAATTACACTGGTTTTGCAAACACATGAATATGGAAGACTAGGTGACCATAAAGCTCTTTCACTTGTGACAGAAGCTGCATTTAAACCCAGGTGTTAAAAGATGAAAGGTTAGTAACTGCATAACCCACTATCCCACCTAGCTCACGTCAAATGGGTTATATTCAAGCAGTTATTTCCATTTCAAAAGCAAGTTAGAGGTAAACATACAATTTTAAATTAGTAGGCTACCGATATTTAACTTATTTGAAATAACTGCATCTGAATGTTTTTAAACAAAAAGAAAAGTGTGACTATCAAAAACATAGCTCGCTATTGGTCACACCCATATAGTGGCTATGGCATCAGAATGCTTCTGAAGGAGAGTTTTATCCTGCCCAGAACACAAATGTGTTCACAGCTCAGTTCCCACTGAACAAGGACAGGTGTTGGATCATATTAAAGAAGTTCTGTATTAAAATAAGAAATGAGTTTGATTCCCCATAGTTTAAATCCCAGGGTATTACTAATTAAGAGGTCTCTTGGTTTTTGGTACTGTTTCTCTCCCTCTATGTGTGAAACTTGCAAGCTGCTAATTGTGTTAGTACATTCTAAGACAGAGTCTGTTCTCAAAGCAATTATTTGTAACTACTCACACAGAGAGAGACTCAAAGCAATACTCTGTAACAGAAACAGCACCCAGAGACTCCCCGCCCTTCTGTTGTATTCATCTCGCTTTGTTAACAATTGTGATTAAAACAGAGACAGAGGATGTATGTGGATAGATGCTTGGTGTGGACAACTGAATGATCAGGGAGATGCCAGCCTAAGAATCCAGTGTCCATCGGCTGAAGAAGGGGTCAAGTGGAAATAACCAGAGGACCCCCAGAGTGCAGACTGGAATCCACCCAACAGCCTCAAGAATGGGAGAACCAAAGAACAAGATAACATCTAGCAGCACGGAGCCATCAGGAATGTGCCATCTGCTGATTGATTCAGCAACAGCATGATGAAGCAATTCCCATAGACTGGCATAGGAAGAAATTCCTATAAAAATGGACTCTAGAAAGTGAGAACTTTGGGGTCTGATTCTGCAAACCAACTTCCAGGAGCATCAGATGAGCATCTGACAAGGCCCTGCTCCCTCCTCATGTCCAGGCCACCCGGCCAGTGGCTTGGCATGAGCAACTCTAAGGCTGGTAACTATGATAACCTTGCAGAACCTGTGTGTGTATGAATGAATGTGTGAATAAATATGAAATTGAATGGAATATTATAGCTATAACTAACTTACTATGATTCTTTCTGTATTCACAACAAATGTGGCATTTTGCCTTTTCCCCTTTAATAAGATCCTGCTGGTTTTTATTTTATTGGTATAACACAGGAACAGAGGGTCACATGTGTAATCCCTATGTGAAGTCAGCCTTTCTAAACAGATATTGTCAAGTTGCTCCCTTTCTCCAAAAAGTAGCATGCAGAAAATTGAAAAACATGCTCTCTACAGCTGTGTCTTTCCATTAAAAAAATCTTAGAACTCTAACCAAACTATCTAAAAGGCCTTTGTTAATAAATCCAACAGGTGCCTTGTATACGAATTGTGTCACCTGTACTTATGACTACAGTAGTTTAAAACAGCACACAACCTGTTGCAGGGAACAGTATAAGACAGAAGTTATTGACTCCCTGATATCTTAAAAAACAGCACAGAAAAAACTGAAATGCCCCTTTAAATAATGCTTCAAGAAACGAGGAAGATTTTTATTAATTAAGAATAGTGTTTCCATATTAACTAGCCCATACAGCTACAGACAAGGTCCAACCTCCCATGTAGCCAGTTTAAAGGTGAACTGGTAAACAAAAAAAGAGTGTGCTGTTCACTACTCCTTTTTGATCTATAAACATAAATAACACTATAATGACATCAAAGAAAGGTGAATCAGAGAGCAAAGAGCTTAAAAAACATCAGTACCTGATTTCAGTATAAGACAACTGCACACTGAGGCACTTTATATATTAAATGGGCAATAAAAGTCACAAGTTTTCTTTTGCTCTACAGTTTACCCTTAAGGCAGCAAGATTAATGTTGAATAGATATATAAGCTATAATGCTAAAGCAGCTGGGGTCAGCTTCAGAAAGAAAAATATCCAAGAAAATTTTACCCAGAAATTAAAACAGGACATGCATCTAAGAAATAGTTTGTCAACCGTTAAACCTGATGTTTGGTTGCCCAACTTCAAGACTGAATGTCTAGACTAGACTGAGCCCTATTGTTTGTGGGTGAATTAGACTATCCTAGTCTCAGACACTACCTTTTTCATCTTGCCAAAAATGCATAAACCAGTATGCTGTGAGAGTTTAATACTCTACAGTTATACAATTGATAGTGCAAGAATCCCAAACGCTTCCCATTCCTCAACACAGGTTTCAATCTACACGTGATAATTTCACAACAGATTCTAAAACAAAACCTTTAGGGCCATGATTCATTAATTTCTATGCTGCTTGTTACAAACTGTTTTCTCATCCCTTTTCCTTTGGTTTCCATGTCCACTGGGTTACAGGCAGGCCCTGTGTATTTGGCAGTTATGGTTTGCAATTTGGTTGCAAGGGAGGCCTGACATTTAAATATCTCAGTTTTATCTTCACTATGAGCTACAAAAAAAAACTTCCAAAGAAACATGGAAGGAAGGATAGTCAGTGGGAATCTACAGAGACAGCGTACTTAGAAAACTCCAGTTCAGTTACTGGTAAGTGAGCTTCCTTCTACACAATGAAATTTTGTTGTTTTTTATTAGTTTGTTTTTTAAAGTTAAGTTCAGAAGGAGGCCTTAGGTGGTAAATCTCTGAAGGACCACCTCCTGAAGAACCCCACCACAAATTATGGAAATTTTCAGCAAAAAGATATTCAGTTACAGGTCAAAAAAGGTTGAGCACAATTTCCCTAGCCATTAGGGCCTTATCCACCTTGTGTGGGCTTCTTGGCCTGATGTGTAACAGATGTATATATACAGTAGGCTCTTTTCCTAGTTGGATAATTGGGGCAAGGATTACCCCCCTTTTTGGGCTTCCTTTCCCCCTCCTCCAAAATCCCACAAATGACAGAATTCTTATAAGGTTTCATCCTGCCCAGAGAAGAACTTGTGGACCTCTTGAGATATAAACTATGGAACCTCCCTCACCATCTAAGTGAGGTCTAGGTAGAGTGGATAAAAACAGATGAATTTTTAAAATCAGATTAATTTAAATTTGATTTTTTTTAAAATTTATATTAAGTCCATTTTTCTTTTTAAAAATAAACCTGTTAATTAAACTTGAAATTATGACAAAGCAGTAACTGTGGTTCTTCAAGATGTGTCCCTATCTGGGTTCTCCACTTTAGGTGCACATGTGCCCCATGCACCTGTGATCGAAGATTTTCACTAGTAGTATCCATTCATTCTGCACATGCACTGCTGATATCCTCATGCACTGCACCGAGGCTACATGAGGCTACATGGGCAAACTACCCTCAGTTCCTTCTCTAACGCCGAGCCTCAGAAGGAAGCCTTGAAGCAGAGAGGAAGGAGGGCAGGTAGTGGAGCACCCTAGATTTAACAATCTATTAACAGCTGCAGCTTGAGTTCCTGGTTATTTCGTGCCCTGGATTTGAGGGCCAAAACAGAAGTTACACTTCCGTGGGATGTGTGACTTTCCCAGTCAGCAAACACAGTGCGCTTCACGGACTAGGACAGCCTTTTTACACGAGATAATATTTAAACCTTGGTGGACTGGAAATGCCTGTCACAGGCAGATTTCCGTGGAGGAAATAAAAATCTTTTCAGCAACCAGTAACTACCTACAACTAACAAACTAAGCCCTGGTCAACACTACAAACTTATGTCAGTATAACTACGTTGCTCAGAGATGTGGAAAATCCACACCCCCGAACAACGTAGTTATGTCAACATAGCACTGTCTACAGTGGGAGTTATGTCTACGGGAAGCCTTCTCCCATTGACATAGTGCCACCTCTTGGGTAGGTGGAGTACCTATGCTGAAGGGAGCAGCTCTCCCGTTGGCATAGATAGCATCTTCACTAAGAGCTGCAACAGCACAGCTGCATTGTCGCAATACTACGTGTAGACAAGCCCTAAGTAGAACAAACTCTGCATGAGGAACGCACATGCAGACATGATAAATTCTGTGGCAGGTCGATGCAGTTCAGAAGGAACTGAGGGCAGGTTGCCCATTCAGCCTGATATAGTCTTACTGCTGGGCACGATTATCAGCAGCACATTCGTGGGACAGAGACACTGATAATAAAAATCTCCAATCAAAGGTGGGGTGCGCGGGGCACATGCACACCTGAAGTGGAGCATCCATAGGGACACTGCTCAAACAAGAACCTACATTAAGGCCTAAACTTATAAATTATGAAAATTACATAAAAATATGCTGTATCAGTTAATTAAATGGTGCTGCCTTTTTAATTACAGAATTTTTGGGGGAATGTAACTTCTTAGGCCTCCTCAAGCTTTAAATATATCACAATCTTATGTACTGCACTGCAGTATCTTATTATTTTTAGTCTTTATTCTTTTCCAAACATACATACTTTTAGTTTCTTCTACAGAAAAGCTTTTGGTTTCAGTTTAGCTGGAAGTGCAGAGTATTTTCTACATGTGGATTACTTCATTCAAAGCTAAGAAATCAACCGGGAGTTGAAAAAGCGAGAAAACTTGTTTTCCTGGGAAAGGATGAGATTGAATTCTAAAAC